TCAGCTGGTTCTTCAGCTGGTTCCTCGGCTGGTTCTTCAGCTGGTTCTTCAGCTGGTTCCACAGCTGGTTCTTCAGCTGGTTCTTCAGCTGGTTCCTCAGCTGGTTCTTGTCTGCAGCTGATTACTGTGGCGTATTTAAGGCTGAGCTCAGCACTCACTGTTCGTGTTAAACATGTCACATGACCTAAGCCTGTCGTTACTCAAAGTGCTGCAAACGTTCATGAAAGCTCACGTGACACGGCTGCGTCTCACTGCAGCCCTCCTTGTGTGGTCCTGTGAACTTCTAGAGGAAGTTCTACCAGACACCTCTGGATTCATGTCATGCTCCTGGTTGCACGTCACCCTGGTCTCTCTCCACAAAGTGCTCAGTGATCCTCCGACTGAAAACAAGCAGAGTTCAGTCCACCTCCACCTCCACCTCCACCTGCTGCTCCCTCGCTCCTCAACATCTTCACTTCCCTCCTTTGGGTTCCTGGACATCCTGGTGCCTCGAACTGGAAGTGAAACAAAACCAGTAAGACTTCATCTTTGTCTTATCTTCTGGACAACATCTGTACACGGGAACCTCTAACCCTGTTTTCCATGCTCCGCTCGCAGATGAAAACTTTACCACTTCCTGCACCTTTCAAAATAAAACCAGTTTTTGCCTTTGTTTCCTGTTGGAGTGTTTTCAGCTCGTTCACCAAATCCTGTTAGAATCTTGTAGATTAGGACACCCCCCCCAGATCTTAGCTCATAGTTTGTAACATTTTCTGGATTATAACCATCGTTTGCAGATTAATGTCCCCCCGCTCCTCCGGAGGGTCATTAGGGTGTTTGTTTGCCAGATGTTTTAAAACCAAAATCCTGACCAGAACGTCGAGAGGGTCGTCATGTTGTCATATATTGATTATTTAACAATTATTAAAGTCGTCTTCTCCTAAAAACATTCAGACTCTGCATCCAGATGTTGAGGACACTGATTTTCAGGGGGACTAGATTTTCAAGTTCAAGTCACTTTTATGGTCATTCTCACCACGTGTGGGACACGAGGTGGAACAAAATTATGTACTCAGGCTCCCAGTTACAGAAGCAGAATATAACGGTATGTTTCATTTGAACTTTAAATTAAAATATATCGGTTTCCTCTACAGTTATAGAAGGAGGACGCCCCGCCCTGTCAACAGAACCGAGTGCCCTGCATACCAAAATTTATATATTTTATTATATATATTATTAAGATTATATATATTATTTATATATTATATTATATATATTATTTACATATTATTTATATATTATATACATTATATTATTTATATATTATATACATTATATTATTTATATAAATTATTTACATATTATTTATATATTATATACATTATATTGTTTATATTTATATAAATTATTTACATATTATATTATATATATTATTTATAGTTATAGTATTTATATATTATATTGTTTACATATTATTTATATATTATATATATTATTTACATATTATATTATATATATTATATTATTTATAGTTATAGTATTTATATATTATATATATTATTTACATATTATATTATATATATTATATTATTTATAGTTATAGTATTTATATATTATATATATTTATATATTTGTTTATATTAGACGATAAAAACATTATAAACTCTTCTCCTCCAACTTTACCTCACGGCACCACCAGCTCCAACCACCAGAGGGCACCAGATCCTAACCTGAAACCTGAGCAGAGGAGTCTTCGAGCCGGACCCTCAGAACCACCATGATCCAGCTGCAGGGACCCAGACCGGCTCTGGTTTCTAGACTCTGTGGAGGTTTAGCTGGTTTCAACTGGAATAAAACCCAAAGTGTGGATTTACTGACCGATGGACACCGACTTCCTGCTCGTCCCTGTAAACGCTGCCGTACGTAGAATTGTCTGAAACTTTGTTTTGTTTATTTAATTCTGTTGTTTACGACAAAAAACACAAACTTTTATCAAACAACTAAAAGGTCTAAATAAATTACGTGACAAAGCTAAACGTCTCAGCTGATTCTGTAAATGATTATTTTCAAACAGGTTCTTTATGAAGCGAAGGAGCAACAGGAAGACGTTTGGTGACAAAAATACAATTTGATGTTACGGAAATAAAATGAAACACAATTAAAGTTTTTAAATCATTAAAGACGCAACAAAACCAGAGAAATTACATTTCCTGTGAAAATACAGTGTGAATGCTGACCGCAGAAGAACTTGCTGAAAAACAGCTGAAATGAGCTAAAACAAACGTTCTGACATGGAAGAACAAGCCCAAATTATCAGAAGAAAACAGAAACAACACATTTCCTGAACTAGGTTTGAATAAGCAGAAATGAGCCAAAAAGAGGAAATCAGCTAAAAAAAGCTGAAATCAGCAGCAGCAGCAGCAGCAGCAGCAGCAGCAGCAGCAGCAGCAGCAACAACAACAACAACAACAACAACAACAACAACAACAACAACAACAACAACAACAACAACAACAATAACTGAAAAGGCAGAAAGAAGCTAAAAGTTCCAGAAGAGCTGAAATGAGCTGAAAATGTGGAATTAGTTGAAAAAGTTAAAATTAGCATAAAAGAGCTAAATAGTAGCTGAAAGAGCAGAAAAATCTGAAAATACCAGAAAAGGCTGAACTTAGCAGAAATAGGTTAATTAGGCTGAAAGTAGCAAAACTTAACATGAAAAACTTGAATTTATTTGAAAACAGGTGAAATTAGCTTCAAATGCTAAAAATGTAGAACGAGCTTAAATTGGCAGAAGAAAGCAGAAAGAACATGTTTGTCCACTTAGGCTGAAAGAAACAGAAATGAGCAAGAAACAGCTGAAAAGTAGCTAAAAAAAAGCAGAAAGAAACTGAAATTACAAGAAGGAAGTGGAGAGAGAGCACATTTTAGCTGCATTAGGCTGAAAAGGTTTAAATGAGTGTAAAAAATGTGGAATTAGCTGAAAAGGCTAAAATTAGCATGAAAACAGCTAAATATAAGCAGAAATAGCTGAAACTTGCAGAAATAAGCTGAAAGGAGCATAACAAGCTGAAATCAGCAGAAAGAAATTAGAAGCTAAAAACAGCTGAAATTTGCTGAAAGAATATAAAAAAAGTTTTAATTTGCAGAAAGAAGCCGAAAGAAGCTGAAGCAGAACAAAATGTGAAAGGAGCAGTGAAAGGTTGTAAACACATCTAAAGATTTAAAAGACATAAAATGAGCTCAGTTCATTTTCTACGAGAGAAAAAAACGGCAGAAAAGGCTAAATATTTCAAAAAGCTAAAGTTGCACCAAAAGTCACAGCAGGATTGTCCTGAAAGAGCCGAACATTTTGATTCATGACTTGTTGA